GCCGGGGGATCCCACGGCCCGGCGGGGCAGACGGTCCAGGAGCCAGGGGAGAACAACCCGGGCTTTGCAGCATGGGGGAACCCAATGGCGCCTCGACTGCCCCTTGGGGTTGGTGCAGAGCCCGGAGTACAAGGCCCTGCAAGACCAGGCCCAGGCTCAGGACCCCAGCATGGAAAATGTGGGCGGAGGGAGGAAACGACAGGCAGCCTGACTCCCACCCACCCGGGGGCTCTGAAACAGCTGCTACATCCCACCCCACCAGAGCATGGGGGCTGGGGATCAGGCGGGCCCCGTGGCTCAGGGTCTGGGGCAGGACTGCAGTGAGAGCTGGCACCTAGGGAGAGGAGCAGGGGCAGGAGTCTCCTTCCTTCCACCAGACATTTCCAGCTGGCTTCAAGGAGACCCTCTTCCGTTCCCCAACGGAGCTGCGCCCCAGGGCTGCAGAGGCTGCTGGGAAAGCCGGTGCCCTTTGACCAGTGGATGTTGGTGCAGCCAGAATCCAGCCCCCTGAGTCAGCGCCTGGGCCCATGGGACATGGGCAAAGTCGAACACAGCAGGGGGAGCAAAGTCCTGCTGGCTCAGCCCCCATCCCCTTCCCGCAGCCTGCGTCCGGGGCCCCGCCAGGCATGTGCAGAGAGGTTTGTGCCGCAGGGTGGCTCTGGGATGAGGCTGGGGGTTGATGGGGGTGGGGTGGATTCTGCTCTGTCCCTGTTCTGGCCTTCGCAGGCACCGGGTGCTCCCGTTCCAGCTCACCCTAGGCATCTCCACCCCCGCACTGTCCCCAGTCTCCCAGGGGCACATGGGGTGGAGAGGGACCTAGTCTGGGGACTGCGAATACTGGGGCCATGGGCATACCTGGTTGGGGGGCATCTCTAGTTCTTGTGGCGGGGGGCAGCCGGCATGGGGAGAAGGAAGAGGGCCATCAGGGCCACTTGCCTGGCTTGGGAGACAGCCGACAGCACGGATCCATGGGGCCGTGCCCTGGGCCTGTCTCCCCTCTCAGCACCGGCATGGGGTGTGGTTATGCCACACCAGAGGAGGGATTTTTGGCCCCCACCCCATGCCATGCAATGATCTATTTATCCTTCTCTCCTCTTCAGAGTGAACGGACAGCTAAAGTTCTCCCAGCAGCCAGCAGGGGGCATCCCAGCAGGATGATGCCCCGCCCCACTAGTCCGGTATTGGAGCCTGTGTGAGCCAACGTCCACCCCACCCCCGCCAGGATGGCCAAACGGCTCCTGGTGGCCTATGCCCTCTGGGCTCTGGGGGGCCCTGTCGGGCTGCACCACGTCTACCTGGGCCGGGACAGCCACGCTCTGCTGTGGATGCTCACGCTGGGGGGCCTCGGGATGGGCTGGCTCTGGGAGTTCTGGCAGCTCCCTGGCTGGGTGGCCCGAGCCAACGCCACCCAGGAGTCGCACCCCCGCAGCCCGGAGCCTCCGGCCCTCAGCCCTGTGCGCTTCTTCGGCCAGGTCCTGGTGGGGATCTACTTTGGTCTGGTGGCACTGATCGGCCTGTCCTCCCTGCCTGGCTTCGCCCTGCTGGCCCTGCCGCTGGCCGTGGGCCTGGGGGTGCATGTGGTGTCCAGCGTGGGAGAGCAGACCTCAGATCTCAAGAACACACTGACAGCAGCCTTCCTCACCTCCCCTGTCTTCCAAGGCTACGTCCTGGCCATCCTGCCCATCAGCCTGACTGCCAGCATCACTGCCCAGCAGTACCGGTGCTACAAGCCCCGCCGGGACACTGGAGAGACACTGAGCGCCCGGCTGTACCGCCTGGGCCTGGCCTACCTGGCCTTCACCACCCCTCTGGCCTACTGTGCCTTCTGCAACCCGGCTGCCACTGTCCACTACGTGGCCGACGCCATTGGCGCCCTCTTGGATTGGCTCAGTTTCTTCCCCTCCCTGGGCAGCTTTCTGGAGCAGCTCCTCCTTCTGCCCTACCGTGCGTGGAGGCTGCTGACGGATGGCACAGGCATCTGGGCCGGCTCCTTCCAGGAGTGGGAGAAAGTCTATGAGTTTGTGAAGAGCTTCCAGACTGAGCGGCAGCAGCTAGCATACAAGGTAGGCAGGCAGGGGGGGAATGGGTGTCCAGGAGGGGGACGTCAGGTCACTGCATGAGGGTGCACACTAGTGTAAATGTGGACAAAGGAGGTGGGTGAGAGGGAATGGGGGCTAGTGATTAGTGCAAGGTCTGGCGGGCCGGGACTCCTGGGTTCTATTCCTACCTGGAGAGGAGGGTTAGAGCAGC